AATAGAGCTGCTTTTCACTTACTGAAGACAAGACTGAAGGCAGAAAGACCCACAAACAAGCAGCAACTGAAGGTGGCTGCAGTGAAGGCCTGGCAAAGCATCTCCAGGGAGGAAACTCAGAATTTGAGTTTTGAGAACATGGGCTCCAGACTTCAGGCCGTCATTGACTGCAAAGGATTTTCATCCAAGTATTAAAATTCTGGTTATATTTACAATTATGTCCCTTTGTCCAAATTCCTTTGAGCCCCTGAAAATGGAAGTACTTTGCTCAAAATGGCTGTAATTTACATTTGGTAGTCGCCCTTATCAAGGGCGACTTACATTTATCTCGTTTATACGACTGAGCAGTTGAGGGTTAAGGGCCTTACTCAAGGGCCTAGCAGTGGCGGGGGATTGAACTCATGACCTCTTGATCAGTAGTCCAACGTCTTAACGACTGAGCTACTGCTGCCCTAATTCCTAAATGGTAAATCCCATATTTTTGTGGACTCTCTTAAAATAAAGCTGAAAGTCTACACTTCAATCACATCTTGATTGTTTTATTTCAAATCCATTGGGGTTGTGTATAAAGGCAAAATCACAAAAACTCTGTCATTGTCCAAATACTTCCAGACCTAACTGTAGTTATATTTCCTGTTAATAAACATACAATTTGTGACTGTAGGAAATAAATAGAACCTATTAGTTAATTAGTATTAGTTAATACATGTAGATTGTGTTATTCGTGTTGTTATTTATTGTTGTACTGCCAAACGTTTTGGGCAAATGACCCCAAATGGACATTTTTTCCAACCCCAAGCTCCATCCACCCCTTTTTTTTTTACTCCAGATTTATAATTTAAGATGGTTAAATTAATATTCGATAAGTTTTTCATGTTTGTTTTCTTGGCTCCTGTTGTTCCACAGAAATTTGAGAAATTATTACACTAGTGCAGACTGTCAGAATAGTGACTAAATTGGAGTAAATAGACTAAAATTGCACGTACACGGTAACATTTTAAAGTAGAAGCACACCAAACACGTCTTTGGAGTTAGAGCAATATTCCTAATATTCATTAACCTTGTTTAGGAACCCTCACTTTACCATTTATCTTGTTTTCTTTTTTAAAGTCTTTTACCCAAATTTGATTATCTTTATCTGTACAATTGTGGATTATTTAATCTTTGTCTAATTTTTAATCCTTTGTGTAAACCACATTTTTTTATTCTGGATTATTATTATTATTATTATGTAAAGATATATAAGTATGGTGCTTTTTAATGCATCTACAGTTGTGTAATGAAGTGTTGAGCATGTGGTGTGGTAACGTACACAAGCTACTTCAAAGAACAGCGCTGTTCTTGATGGAGTTGAGAGAAAAGTGGGCAATTTGTTCATTTATATTGGGGAGGAGATGAAACACGTCGTCA